AGTAGTAGGAGTTGTGGTGGTAGTAGTAGTAGTAGTAGTAGTAGTAGCAAAGTAGGAGTAGGAGTAGTAGTAGTAGTAGTAGTAGTAGCAGCAGCAGCAGTAGTAGTAGTAGTAGTAGTAGTAGTAGTAGCAAAGTAGGAGTAGGAGTAAGAGAAGGAGTAGGAGTAGGAGTACTAGGAGCAGCAGCAGCAGCAGCAGCAGTGGTACTAGAGGAGGTGGAGGAGGTTTTAGTAGTAGGAGTGCGAGCAAAGCAGCTGCTAGCAGTAAGATTACCAGCATCGCCTACACCTGTAGCAATGCTAGCACCGATACAACCATTCTTAGTTCTCGTAACCATAGAGTTGTTTAATAGCACGGCCAGGAATACTCGCAGCGAACCTGACCCGGCATCAACGATCATAATGGTGTCAACCTGGCATTAGTTCCTTGAGATTTCAATAATTAGCGGCGTACGCGCAGCAGTGCTATGTTTTAGAGAAACGGTTGCAACCATTGTCCCAACACGAGTCACGATGCGAACATGCCCGACAATCCAAAGTCCGAATGCACCTCAGACTTCACAGCGATTGGAAGGACTCCTGGGGTCGTTGCCTGGTCCTTCTACGAGATCTTGCTTCTCGAGGCGGCTGGCAAGGGATTCATGGTTTCGGTTTCTGGCTTCTCCGTCGCCGCTACAGCCAAGACTCTATTTTCAAAGCCGCTGCCCAGCACACTGGCGACTCTGTCCTAAACAGCTTGAGCGCTAAACCCAGTCTAGACGGGACTGAAGCTGTGATCAGCAAGGTTCTTTCCGTTTCCTTAAGAGGGATTCGGATCTCGGTTCATCAGTATGCAGCTATACGACTTGGAGAGCAGCACAAATAGTGTTATGCATGTGCATGGTAACATTACCAACCAGCAGCAGTGGTAGTAGTCGCGGAGGTGGTGGTTGTCGTGGTCATGGTCGCGGTGGCGGTGGCGGCGGCGGCGGCGGTGGTGGTGGTGGTGCATGGTAGTCGTGGTAGTAGGAGCAGCAGTAGCAGCAGCAGTAGCCGTTTGAGTAGGACTAGCATTCTCGGTAAGTACTGTATATATAGCTGAATGAAGATAGCCATTCGATGCCCAGTTGCTTAGAGCCTAGAAAGACGCTTAGTGACACTTCATGTAACTGTCTTAATCGACTACGACTACTACAACGACCACTACGACCGGCGCCACCGCCACCACCACCACCACCACCACCGCCAGTGCCACCACCACCACCACCACCACCACCACCACCACCACCACCGAAAGGCAACAGAGTCGGCAACGGCATTGGCAGCACACCCAGAAGCAAGGGCAGAAGAAGACTGCAGAGAACGATGAGCATTAAAAGGAGACTAGGCGGCATATACGATAAACATTATGAAACGGAAGACTAAGAAGAAGCAGGATAAGAAGCAGGTGAACCATGGTGAATCATAAGGAAATATGAATCAGAGGCGGCGGCCGCGGCAGGGGCGGGGCGGCCTCCACAGCAGCAGCAGCAGCAGCAGCAGCAGCAGCAGCAGCAGCAGCAGCAGCGGCAGCGGCAGCGGCAGCGGCAGCGGCAGCGGCAGCAGCAGCGGCANNGCAGCAGCAGAGGCAGCAGCAGCAGCAGCAGCAGCAGCAGCAGCAGCAGCAGCAGCAGCAGCAGCAGCAGCAGCAGCATCCGCGGCGGCGGCAGCAGCAGCAGCAGCAGCAACAGCATCAGCATCAGCGATACTCACTTCAGATACAATTCGTTGAGTGTAGGGGCCTTAACAATTGGAATAGGGTTTTGGGGAATAGTATGCTATAATGCTATAGGTATAATGAGGAGCCTCAAACGAGCACCGGCATTGACATTACCAAGACGAGCAGATCAGGCGGTCGAGACTTCGCAGCGACGACGACTGCTGCAATGGCTGCCTTAGACAAGGAGCTTCGTCGCAGGCTATGGAAGGGTGGGTTGTAGCATGGGTCTCATTATATTATTGAACCTTAAATCCTACAGCTGGCCTACAAGTCTGCATCATGATGCCCCGATACCGCCTATTGCGGTTCTCACACTATCAGACCCTACAGTACAGACAGCTCGACTCGAAAACCTCAAGTTCGAAGAGTAAACGCCAGATCTCAATCCCGTAGGCTCCAAACCATAAAACTTCCGAACCCCGCAAAACCCTGAACCCTAGACCTGAAAACCTAAACCCTAAACCTTAAACCCGGACCTAAACCCACCCTTGGCCCTACAAGCCCCCAACCTTGAAGTGCTGAAGTCTGAAATCTTCTGCTCTTAGTTCCCAAGCCCTAAAACCAGAATCCGAACCCGTAAAAACCTGGGTTTTTGGGGTTTAGGGTTTAAGGAGCCCTTATAGTGATCGATACCCTGATTATCGTAGTGAATCGTAGTCCATTAAAGCACCCTTAAAGGAACCCTGGACAGGGTTCGACCTCCACGCCTAAACCTCGCCTCCTCAACTCGAAACTGAAGCCTTGAACGAACCACCACGCCCTCTAAAGCCTAGATTCCTAAGCCGTAATAGAAAGGGCCTAAGAACTAAGTACCTTTCTCTATTTAGGGTTCCTTAATGTAACTATAGTAGAATATACCCAAAACCCTATTCTGATTGTTAAGGCCCTTACATTACACCCTAAACCCTGATAGTGATCGTAACCCTTGGTCCTAAGCACTAAGCCCTAAGCCGTAAAGCCTTGAACCCTAAAGCCCTAAGCCCTAAACCCTAAAGCCTAAACCCTTTAAGCACTAAAGCCTTGAACCCTAAAGCCTTACCTAAATCCTAAACCCCAAACCCTCTAAGCCCTAAAACCTTGAGCCCCAAAGCCCTAAACCCTAAGCCCTAAACCCTAAACCCGAAACCCTAAACCCTAAAACCCTAAACCAAAGCAAACAGCCACTAGGGCCCTAAAGCCTTGAACCCTTGAAAGAAGCCACTAAGCCCGACCGGAACCCTTTAAAAGAACCGTTTAAGGGTCCCTTTCAAAGGAACCCCTATTCCCTAAACCCTAAAGCCCAAAACCCCTAAACCCTAAATCCCTGAACCCTAAATCCCTAAATCCCTAAAGCCTAAAGGCCCTAAGGCCTTAAACCCTTATTAAGGCCCCTATAGTAAGCCAGACCCAGGAAGGACACTGGGAGACGGCTTGGGCCTTGCTGCGCCTCGCCGAAAAGGTCGATGAGGCGCCGGGTGCGGTTTTAGGGGTTTAGGTGTTTAGGGATATAGGGGTTTAGGGATTTAGGGATATAGGGGTTTAGGGATTTAGGGATATAGGGGATTAGGGGTTTAGGGATTTAGGGATATAGGGGTTTATGTTTAGGGGTTTGGGGCTTCGGACCTGTAGGGTTTAGGGATTTAGGGTTCAGGGATTTAGGGTTTGGGGTTTCTGGGTCGTAGGATGTTTCGCGGTGCGGGTGGTCTTGAGAACCTGGGGTCCATACAGCCACAGATGGATCCGACTAGTTGGTACTTGGTGTTCTTCTGGTTGGCTCTTAGGACTTGAACTTTTTGGGTTTCTATATGAGTTACAAGAAGGAGACTAAAAGTTTAACTTTTTGCAGGGGTTCAAAAGTCAGCCAAGAATATAGAAGCCTAAGTAATTACCAACTTTTTGGGTTTCTATATGAGTTACAAGAAGGAGACTAAAAGTTTGACTTTTTGCAGGGGTTTAAAAGTCAGCCAAGAATATAGAAGCCTAAGTAATTACCAATATTACTGTTGGTGTTCCTTATTATAAATGAGCTATACAAGGGGCCCAAGACCCTATTCTAATTAGGAAGGCCCCTACATGAGGTCTTTATAAGGGTCAGACTGCTCAGGGTGTCTATTTGGGTTCCTTCTTCTTCGCAGTGGGTTCTTAAAAAATCTTACTTGGTAAGAAATGAAACTAAGTTTCCAGAATAATATCGATCGATCTATGATATAATTTCCCTGCTACGGGAAAGCTAAAGTTCCATAACAAAGCACGTTTTTTCGTGGGAGTGCTGTCTGTTTCCAGCCTTTTTAGGCTGTGGGCTTCGAGGTTTTTCAGGGCTTGTAGCTTCGGTTTAGGGTTTAGGGTTTAGGCTTTGGGGGTTCAGGAAGAGTGGTGTTTGTGATGTTGTGGATGAGTTCCTAAACCCTAGACGCTGTTTTCAACTCCCATCCATCGATCCTTTAAAGTGATCAGTACGACGATGTGGTTTTCGACTAGGTTCCTAAGTAGTACCCTTTTGCCCTTTCTATTTTGTTGTCTTCTTAAAACCGAATAGTCGGAAAAAGGGTACCCAAGGTGTTACTGGGGAACCTACCCTAAACCCGAAACCCTGAACCCTAAACCCTTAAAGGAGCCGCTGAAGGGGGCTTTCAGGTCGAAAGTTTTGGGCGTCTTAATCTGAAGTGCGCGATTTGTTCGGAGGGTCTAGGGTTATGCGACTGGCTTGTCTCTGCAATGTAAGGCCACCCGCCTCTTGGCAACGTATGCAGTTCTACATTTCGTAGGATCGGTGACTCATGTCGAGTCGTACCCTTCCGACGACAAAGGCCTTCGTCCGCCGCCGCCCTCGCCTAACCAACCTCAACCCTGAACCCTAAACCCTAAGGTTTTTTTGACAAGACGTCAGCCCGAAACTCCCCCCCAAGCCATTACGTATTGCGATGCCCAGTGCTGGGAGGTGATGTGCACAGCTGTGCTGAGCGCCGCCAGGCCACTTTGGGTTTCTTCTAGAGCCGCGCCATTGATCTGTAAGAATCTCCAGAATCATGCTGAGACCAAGAAAGTAGCAGCAGGAAGGGTTTAGGGTTTAGGGTTTAGGGTTTAGGGTCTCGGGTTTAGGGTTTAGGGTACCAGTGATCATAATGAGCGTGCTTCTGATCAAGGCAGATGCCAGTCTCAGTGCATCAGCCTGGCACTGGCACTCCAGCAATACAACTTGGTGATGTAGGGGCCGTAATAGTTGCCTATACTATTTTGGGCGTTCCTTATTATGAATATAGTATAATGGGCCCCAAAACCCTATTCTACTTATTAAGGCCCCTACATGCGCCGAAGCCCTAAACCCCAAACCCTAAACCACTAAAGCCCTAAACTCCTAAAGCCCTAAACCCCTAAACCCTAAACACCTAAACCCCTAAGCCCTAAA